GTCCCCTCTTTAAAAAAAAAAAAAAAAAAAAAAAAATGATAGAGAGAGGGATCGTATTTATTTCTTTACATACTTTTCTAGTGAAAGGACAAAATACTGTATTTTAATATATACTTATCTAATACCTAGCTATTATTTATTAGACTGAATACACAATCTCCAGTCGATTTTTGTCTAGCTTCCTAGAGTGCTTGAAATTTTATTTGGCCCCTCTCATTGGCACACCTTCTAAATACAACAAGTGTTTTGTTTTTAATGGAAGTTTCTTGCAGCTGTTACAGTTGCAGTAATTTTTTTCAAACACACTTTCCATTAAAGATAAAAGAAAGACTGGCTCTCTGTGTGTGGTTGCTTCAGTTCATGATGTATTCTCCATTTTCACTCGACTCTTTCTGTGCCATCTTTGTGATGGTAATTTCTAGGTCTAGGGCCTGACCCCTTCTGATCTTAAGGACTAGCAGTTTATACCTAGGATATAGCCTTCATAATTTTCAAGAGAACTTCTTCCATTAACCTTGAAACCTAAGTCAAGCTGTTAAGAAGCTGAGTTTTAGTTGCCTGTGTTTTCTGAAGAAACACTTACCTCTCTTATTTATATTGTGGTAGTGTCCAAAATGTACTAGGCATTGTATAGTCATAAAGAAAGACAGTCTTTGCTATAAGGATTTTATAGCTAAAAATATAGAACGTAGCTAAAGTCTAGGAGAAAGGGATTCTGTGCTACAAATCAAGTTGTTTGGTCCAGTGGTTTCATTTTTTTAAAACTTTCCCTGTACCTAATATTTAAAAAAATCTATTTTTATCAGAATCTTTAGAGGGGGATTAAATTGGGAGGATGATGGTGGCTTTGTAGCCTAGTGCTGGAAGAATAGGGGTGTGAAAGAAGGCAGTGTGAATCCATGAGGGAGAAATGTGTACAAAACACCAATTTTTGCATCATCAGCCCATCAGCAAATGAGGTATGATGTAATCTCAGGTAAGTAGAGGAAGAAATTATATAATATTTGGAAGCACTACTGGAAATATTTCATAAGATTGAACAATCAGAAAGAAGTATTAGTTAGCTTTGTGGTCCAGGTATATTTTAGGTAAACAAAGATGTGGATCAAGTTGGGGTCCTGGACAACACAGAGAAGGGTGCAGTGATCAAGATTGGAAACAGGACTTAGATAAGAGTAGGTACTAGATACTAAAAATATGATGAAGAAAATCCCAAGATTTGGAGGAGGTTTGGATATGGAAGAATATAACAGAAGGGGCATAAGGTTCATCCCTTTGGCTTAGAGCCTGACATAGGCAAAGGACAGTGGTGATCTTAACAGGTTTTCAATTTAACCATGTTAAGTTGAGTTAGTCAAGCATTCTGAAAATGTCGGAGAGACAAATAGAGC